ATATTCGTAAGAAGATATTTACATTTCTTGCGAATTTTATCGAGTAATCAGAGTTAATGCGATACAAATGGATTCGACTCAAATACCGCGGGCACAAGTTATCGACATCTTCTACGAGGTAAGTAAACAGCTGTTCTACCGACTCTTCCTGCACGTCGTTGAGTCTTTAAAGTGACTGTACGCCCCTGTTGAGCCGTGATCCGCTGACACTCCATGCGCGCGGATTGCCATGATTTCGGTCAATTTTTAAACGCTTATAACTAACAAACGAACCATTTTTCGCAATTTCGTTATTCTTGATTTTCGTCTTATTTTGCCTCAAAGAATCACCCCTTAAATTTTTTCCCACTAGTTGTCGAACACCCTGTATAATTCCTTGTCGATAATAGTTCATCTTATGTGCACTAACTTAAATCTAAACTATATACAACCTAACTCTAGCGCTATTTACAAACTTGTTTCTATTATCCACGACCGAGCTGTAAACGGTCTGGAAATCGCACGTGCCTGCCTGCACGTGTCTGTACTTGCCGTTGCTCGTGTATCGCTGTCGTGTTTTTCGCGGTTTCTCGCGTTTTATGTGGCGACGTTTCTTCCTCGACTTTTTCTGGTGTGACATTTTCTTCGAATATGTACGCAGGTTTCAATCTGTCTACGGACACTGTCATTTCTTTACCTTTTACACTTATGGTGTATGTTTTATCTGATCGGGAAATAACGGGGAACGGTCCTTCATATGGAAGTTGTAATGAACTTTTTGCGCTGTCCGTGCGTAGGAATACGTGCGTAGCCGTCGGCAGATCTTTGAACACGAAGATTTTCTTTTTTCCGTGTCGTCTTGCCTCGGTGGGCCGGACGTTACGAAAGTGTTCGCAAAGTTGATTTACGAATACCGAAGGTCCCATGTTATTTTCCGATGAGGTTACCAGAAATTCTGCTGGTAGTCGCGGGTTTTCGCCATAGACTAATTCGGCCGCGGATGCCGCTAAATCTATCCTATGAGCGGTACGGATGCCTAATAATACAATCGGTAGCGCATCCGTCCATCGCTCGTCGTTATGGCATTTGATCGCTGCTTTAAGCTGCCTGTGGAATCGTTCTACTAGCCCGTTCGCCGCTGGGTGGTACGCGGTTGTCCTTAAGTGTTTTACACCTAGTAGCGCGTTTAGGTTTTTGAAAAGTTGCGATTCGAATTGTTGCCCTTGATCGGTTGTGATGCGTAGGGGTGTTCCGAATCGTGCTACCCACCCAGCGACAAATGCTCTAGCCACTGTTTCTGCTTCAATGTTTTGCAGTGGGAATGCTTCTGGCCAGCGTGTGAAGCGATCTACGCACGTTAGACAATATCTGTTTTCTTTTGAGATCGGTAGTGGTCCTACTAGGTCGATGTGTACGATGTGAATCTAGTGGACGGCGGGACGAAGTTGCCGACGGGACTTGTTACATGTCTGCTTACTTTTGCGCGTTGGCATTGTAAGCAGCTGCGGGCCCATTCGCGACAATCCTTTTCGACTGATGGCCAAACGAATCGTTGTTTTACTAACTGGACCGTTGCTTTTATCCCCCCATGTGCCTATTCGTGCAGTGAGGCGAATGCTTGCTTTCGAAAAGGTTTCGTTACGAATGGTCTCGCGGTTCCCGTAGCGATGTCGCAATAAACGTTGGCGTCCTTGTTGGGCGTTAGGTTAATGCGTTTTAATTGCAACTAGGTGTCGGGCGCTGCGAGTAACTCTTTTAGTTCGCGGTCTGTGTCTTGCGAAATCGCTAGTTTTTCGAAATCTATAGACGCTGTGACCGTCTTTACTCTCGATAATGCGTCCGCCACCTCGTTGTCCTTGCCGCTTACATGTCTAATATCGGATGTAAATTGCCCTATAAAATCTAAATATCGGAATTGTCTGGGCGTGCACTTTTCTGGCTTTTGCCTGAATGCGTATGTGATCGGTTTATGGTCGTTGTACACCGTGAATGCTTGGCCTTCTAGCGTGTGACGGAAATGTTTGATAGCTGCGTATACCGCTAATAATTCGCGATCGTATGCGCTGTATTTTTGTTGCGGGGGCGACAGAGATTTCGTGAAGAACCCTAGGGGTTGCCAAGAATTTCCATGTCGCTGTTGCAAGGTAGCGCCTAACGCGAAGTCTGACGCATCTACCATAATCGCGAGCTGCGAGTTTTTACGTGGATGCGCTAATAATGCGGCGTTAGCTAAAGCGTTCTTTAAGGAATTTAACGCGATTTCCGTTTCGCTTGACCATTGGATGGGCGCGTCTGCCTTTATTTTTCGCCCTTTTAGGAGCGCGTTGAGGTGGCTCTGTATTTTCGCGGCGTTCGCGATGAAACGTCGATAGAAATTAACCATCTCTAGGAATCGGCGTAACTGTTTAACCGTCTTTGGCGTAGGGAATTCTCTTATCGCGTTTACTTTGTCCGTGAGCGGTTTCGTGCCTTGTGCATTCACGATGTACCCGAGGAACCTCACTTCTGGCGCGGCGAATACGCATTTTGTCGGGTTTATTATTATCCCGTATTTTTCTAAGCGTGAGAAGAACTGCCTCACGTGTTCCTTGTGCTCTTCCTCGTTTCTAGACGCGACTAAGATATCGTTCAAATAGGTGTAGCAAAAATCTAAACCTCGGAGCGCGTCGTCTATAAAACGTTGGAACGTTTGGGCGGCGTTTCTCAACCCGAACGGCATTGAAATACAATATATTCGAACAGTCCGAAAGGTGTTACTACCGCGGTTTTAGCGACGTCGTTCGGATCTACCGGGATCTGATGATACGCGCGAACCAGATCGATTGTCGTGAAGATCGTGTTTCCACTCAACGTCCGTGCAAAATCTTCTATGTGCGGTAGAGGGTAACGGTCAGGGATTGTACGGGCGTTGAGAGCGCGATAATCCCCGCAGGGCTTCCATCCGTTGTTCTTCTTTGCGACCATGTGTAAGGCTGACGCCCACTGGCTCTTTGAAGGTCGGATGTGGTCCTGGCTCAATAAACCCTCGAATTCCGTTTTCGCGATCTTAAACATATTAGGCGAAAGTCTACGCGGCTTACAAAAGGCTGGTTGCCCTGGGGTGGTATTAATATAATGTACGACATCATGTTTAATCTTACGTGGGTTTGCCGTTAAGCGCACGATGTCGGGGAATTCTGCCAGTAATCGTTGGTAAGGGGAATCTCCGAGGATGGTCTTCACAGATGATGTCGCGTCCGTCCGCGTGGATTTCTCTTTCGAATCCGCCTGGAGTTGTAAATTCCAGGCTCGACCGTCGTGGTACGCGTCCGGTTGCGACTGTTGCCCGCCAAATTAATATTAGGCAACTGTTTCAATTTCTCTAGTGCGAAAAACGAATAATTGCTCGACCGTTGGAGCTGACGAATCGTGATGCGAATGTTGTCGAATGATTGTTCGATTGCGAGTTAATGCGAATGAATTGAGTCCGTTTGACTCTTGTCGAACGAGTGTGTTTTGCGAACGAGTGTTTGCGAACGAGTGATTCTAATGAATGTTTTCGACTGAATCTATCTTTTCGACTGTCCGTTCGAGTTTCGTGTGACGTCGCGCTTCCTCAAAGTTCGATGAAGGCGTGACCAAAACTCGCCTCCTTATTGGTGATGCCCTGAAGGGGAAGGCAAATTTCTCGGGTTTTCCACGCGACGCGGAGGTGGAATACCTCTCCTTCAGGGCGAAGCGGACGTCAGGAAAATATCGCGCACGTGGTCGCGGTGCGAGTTGACCGCGACGAATTTTCGAGTCTCTCAACGGTAGGGTTTTATGATTATATTGTCTGCGAGTCAGCGCGCCCCGGTAAGGCCCGGCGCGGATGGGTCCCAGGTTACCGAGCGCATGTGGCGGACTGCAGACCAAATGTTCGCTTCTTTTGTCTCTGATTCCCTTTGGCAACGAAATCGAAATTGCAAAGGGTCGGTCTTGAAAATATATAAATTGACTGAAAGAAGGAATAAAATAATAAAAAGTAACGGTATCGTCTGACTGTATAACCGTCGTTTCGGTCTACGACGGAACAGATGGAATGTTGCCCTCTGCTCTCCTACCGGTAGTGGACAGTGATGTCACCTGGTCCAGCAATCGGCGGTTCCTCAAATCCACCAGCAACCCGTAGTGGGATAAAAAATCGGCTCCGATGATCGGCTTTGAGACATCGGCCACGACGAATCTCCATTGGATGGCACGCCGTAGGCCCAGGTCAAGGTTGATCGTCCGTACACCATAGGTGCTGATGATTGACCCGTTTGCCGCGAACATTTCGTATTCAGTTTTCTCGGTTCGGCCATTTACATGCGTCCGTGGAGAAACGCATAGATCAGAACCGATGTCTACCAGGTACTCTTTCTTTGTACGCTGGTCGATGACGAAAAGGCGGCTAAACCGTGGACCGTCACTGATTGCCGCATTCAGTGGCGCGTCTCCTCGTTTCCCGACTGGAAACTGCACGGTGCCTTACATCTTTTGGAATCAGCTCCGAACTTCCAGTGATACCAGCAGTGCCTTTTTCCGCTTGACGACTCCTTCCTGGCGAGCACGAACGTTCTCGGAAGCTGCCCCTCGGCCGATCTCGTGAGCGAGACCGTGTTAGCTCAGCCACCTGCAGTGTCAGTTCTTCTAACCGTTCGAACAGTCTCTCGTTCGTTCTGTCGTGGGAGGCACTTGCGGCTCCTGTATGTGCGGTGTTCTCCCGAATTTGGTCGGCTATTTCTGCCAGTTTACTAAGCGACAGGTCAGCTTGTGAATTTATTATCGCGCGAGTCATGGCCGGTAGTCTTCGTGCCCATAACGTGCGTAGAAACTCTTCGGTCACCGCTGTACCTGCCAAGTTCTGCATATGGCGGAGGAATTGGGATGGTGTTCTGTCCCCGATATCTTCCTTCTCCAGAAGCTTGTCGATACGTTGACTCTGCGACGCTGAGAGGCGATGAACCAGTTCCTTTTTTAGGGTCCCGTATTTGTCCTTTTCTGGAGGATTGGCGAAAATATCTTGCACCTCCAACGCGTATTTGTGCTCTAATTGTGCCATCACGTAGTAAAATTTTGTCGTGTCCGCTGTAACACCGTTGATTGCGAATTGCGCTTCGATCTGGTCAAACCATACTGCCGGTTGTTCGGGCCAGAACGGCGGAATGCGTATACTGACACGGTTGATTTCCGGAATCGCGCACGGAACTTCAGAAACCGGTGTACCTGATACGGACATCTTGATTTCTTTAACGATAACGCACTTGAGAAAATAAAGAATTAACTGTGATCACGTCGGGGTCACCAAATGAAGGGTATTTACACGTGTTTTAAACCACAGCGATTTATTCGTTACTTTGGAGGTATACACTTGGAAGTCTTATACAAGAAGAAGAGCGCAACGCGCGTCCGCTCGCGTTTATATACACGCGCTGGGTTGAACGTTCTCGATGTTCGACGTTTAAAAACTCTTTGTACTGGTCGTAATCGTCAACTGTTTTGCTGACAGGTTAATGACCGTCGGGTGACGTGTTTACCTGCTCGCGCGTCGATGTGTCCTCGCGGTCTCGCGAGTTTGTTTACGCGGGTTACATTTCTTTTCGTGACCTTTATTGTCAGCTGTTTTTGCTGCCGGTTAACGGCCGCCACATTATATACAGGGTGTCCTACGCAACTGGAACAGGCTGTACCTCGTAAACGGTTGGGAATAGAAGGAGATGTTGTAAGTAAAAGTTAAATAGTATCAGACGGTGCATAATACGCAACCAATTTTATGCACTTTTGTGCATCGGTGCATCAGAAAAATGCAACTGCACTTTTTTTAAAAATAGAAACCTATGTTTTTGACTGCACTAATCGATGCAGTTTCTTGTGCTCTACACAAAAGTACCAACATACTTATGCCCCAAACTTATTCGTTAGGAAGTTATCGAAGCTTCATGTTTACAAACATTGTAATGGAACATAACGTAGGTATTCCACAACACTTGCCGAGAGACCGATATAATTCAGAGAACGTTTAGCTTCGATAACTTCATAACGAATAAGTTTAGGGCATAAGTATGTTAGTACTTTTGTGTAGAGCACATATTACATATTATGTTATATATGCACAAATTATTCTTACAATTACATATTATCCTTACAACCCTAATCATCACTACCCTAAATATTCGTACAGAAATCTATTAGATTTAACTGCAATAGTTTGGAAATTTCTTTATTGCCGGAAAGTTTCTTTATTGTCGGAAATTTCGACAGTAATGAATTTCTAAAAGCTATTTCAACGGTAAGGGACTTTACATTAGGTGCAATCGTACGCGTCGCCGAATACGTTATTGTTTCATTATGTCAAAAGAGTCTTTTGAAAATAGGTAATTAGGAGTTTCAAGGGTTTCGAAAGAAGCGCTTTAGCCACTCAAAAAAACAAAATACTGCGAATAGTAATCCGTTATTGAAAAGTGTCATTGACTTCACAAAAAGCTGTTAAAGGTAGCCGTGCGCGCCGTTTCAGGTAAGCGAGCCGCTCGCGCGACGTTTACGATCGACCGATCGTACCAGTTGCAGTCCATATTACTTTAAATGACATCACTGACACGGGTACGAAACCTATCGATATTTTCCATCAGGGGACCATTTTGAAGATATTATATAATTACAATTGTATTATAGTCTCTTGTGCGTGTATTTCTTTCGCCGTACTTCCGCCGCGTGTATTTTTTTCGCGTATAATTCTTCCGCGTAATATCTTATATTTCCAGCGATGGATTTTTTTCTATCCAGAAAAAAGATAAGTTTACAATAATATTTATATTTTATCTTACACTATGACAATTATGATTATAATTATATTTATATACAGGGTGTCCCAGAAATGTCCTCCGACCCGGAAATGGGGCACGCGGGGGGTGAATTGGAACAACTTTTTCCTTAGCAATTATGTAATCTGAGGCTTCGTTACTGAGATATTAACGAAAAATCGCGACCAATCAGAGCGCGAGTTTGCCAGCCGAGTTCCCGTGCTAGCGGTGGCTACGCGCTACGCTTGTACTACGAAGCTCTAAGCAAGTAGGTCAGCATGCTTCGCAGGAAACTGCGTATAATAGCAAATAAAAAGACGTAACAAATAAAATCATACTTTTTATCATCCGCCGTTTGTTATTTAAAGAGATTAATGAATGAAACGTAAATGTAGGCAAATTATGTGTAACCTACAAAGACGAATGCACATTTACTTTTTTGTAAATTCCATTTACGAATTTGTAAATTTCCTTTTCAAATAACGAGTGAACGAAAAGATAATGTAACAGAGAATGAACGAGAAGTGGTCGCAGTTCGGTACTGGTATAAAAATTCGTAGTTTAATAACGGTCAACAATGTTACTAATAATGAATAAGTTTCTTCCAAAAGCACGAAGAAAAAGTTAAGTACAGAAACTTGCTGAATTATCGCCGGAAATAAGCCATAGCTTGCGTTAAATTAAGAAAATAATAATCAGCAATAAATTGACTAGAACTCACCCTTTCGGAAATTCACCTGCAGTTTGCAAACCTTTGTCATTAGGTCACTGAACCGATCCTGGTCATCGACGGTCGAAACGGTTTATGGCAGGGTATCGCCCAGTTCGCAGGTGATCGCAGGTATACCTCACCAGCCGAAGTTAAGGGTTGTAACGTCAAGTGCGTCCTGGTTATTCCACAGAATACGTACTCACTGAACTGCACGACCACTAACACTGATCACCCGACACAATCACTTAATGTATTTTTAATCCAACGTGTTGTTACTACGTTAGGAAAATTCGTGGCCTCGGAAAGGACCGATTGTTTTCAATTTTTCAGATGTTTTACGTAACCAAACACTTGCACAGCAACACCCGCATATCCGTTATTGTGTACGTACCACCATAACATTGCGTAATACTCCCGTGAACTGAACATCTCTGTCGCCCGATTGCTAACCGACTGACAGAATTTTTCCTCTACCCCCAAGTAGTTTCCCATCGTTACATTGTGAGTTCACTCCCACCATGACAAGATTTAGGTAGAAAGAAACCAACGGTTCTAGGATAACACGTGCTTTGCAGAAGTGGAAGGAAAGGACCGTCGCGCAGTTTCTCCAAGGCGCCGTAGCCCGTTAATTTATTGCCAGGGTACCTACTTCTTCGAGATAGAAAACAGACATCACGTACATCGGCTTAAAAATTTCCGAAATGAAGAGGACCATCAACGTATCCCTTGCTTCGAGTTGGAAAGTACAGTGTACATTGTCTAAATCAAAGCTATATCAAAGTGTCAATGATTTGCGGAAAAGAGTTCGCAAGCATTTCAATGAGATTAAAAGCTATATCAAAGTGTCAATGATTTACGGAAAAGAGTTCAACGAATACGGTAGTATTTTTTTTGTATTTACCTGCACCGCGCACTGTCAGGCGTCGGCGAAAGATTGTTTAAAGAAACGGATTATTCTGGAATTCAATGATATAGCTACATTCAATATCAAAACAAACACAATATTACAAATTATATGGTTTTTATATTTCTAATAATTTCCGAGATATTTGACGGAATACTAAAAAAAAATACGTATGAAATGTTTTCATGAGAACTACAATTTCACAAAGTTGTAATAAAATTGTCGATTGTCAATTCTGTTGTGAGTTCACGGTTGCTACGAGGCCGAAGATTTTAAGCCATAAATAACCGAAAATTCCACTCCGGCCTCTACAAGGGTGGTCGTCTAGGGCCAAGCAGCGTCAACTGACACGTGACGGTAAATTTTTTTCCCTGCTCCTCGTGATAGACAATGTACACTGTACTTTCCAACTCGAAGCAAGGGATACGTTGATGGTCCTCTTCATTTCGGAAATTTTTAAGCCGATGCACGTGATGTCTGTTTTCTATCTCGAAG